TTAGAGTAGTGAGGTGCTGGAACAGGCTGCCCAGAGAGGTTGTGGATGCCCCGTCCCTGCAGGCGTTCAAGGCCAGAGTGGACGGGGCTCTGGGCAGCCTGCTCTAGCATTAAATGGGAAGGCTGGTGGCCCTGCATGCGGATTGGAGATTCATGATCCTTGAGGTCCCTCCCAACCCTGGCCATTCTGTGATTCTGTGTGATTCTGTGAAAGCCAAGAAATTCCCACCAAGGACATCTGTAGAGCACATGCATCCATCTTCCTGCTCCCAGCAGTGACTGGTGCTGCAATGGAAAGCCTTTCCCTTGCAGGCACTGTTGTCACAGACTGCTCCATACCTGACGAGCTTACGATAAGAGCCCCCCATCTGACCTGCAGCTCTCTCAGTGGGATAGTGGCAGACGAGCTCTCGCCATTTGCGCTGCTTTGCCCAGTGCCCAGGCCTCATACCTTTCCCTCCCTGCCTTTTGCTAAATGTGGAGGTGATGGGAGGCTCCCCTAAGCTTGCAAAGAAAGGGAGACCCAAAGGAGTGCCTGTGTGTCTGCTCATCTGTGAGCTCTGAGTGCTTGTCAAGGGCTGGGCAGCTGTCTGACCTGTGTGTCCACAGCAGCTTGCCCTCCCTGGCGAGTGAACAAGCCCAAGAGATTCAGTTCCTGAGGAAGGAGGTAACTTGCCTGTCTGCGGAGACTGGCACTGGGACAAAGGTGGTCCTGTACTTTGGGAAAGAGGCAGGGATAAGCAGAGCATTGGGCAGGGCACTGATTGTGAGTGCTGCCTATGGGGCTTCCCAGCTGACCCCTGCCACTCACCTCCTGCCAAGCGTTGCTGGTTGAGGTGTGGCACACGTGTTCACCGTGTGAGAAATGCTTGTATTGTATTGTACTGTATTGTAGTTGGGGCTTAGGTGAAATTTGCTAGAAATTGCAGTTCCTTACGCGCTTTTACAAAAGCGGGTGAACTTGACAAGGGCGCGTCAGATCAGAGTGACCCAACAGTTTCTATTTACTACATCCCAGTGCATATTTTCTCCCATTCCCTCGCTGGCCGAGGACTTCCAGCCTCACAGCCTGTGCGAGGCTCCCCATTCCCTCAGCCGATGTCCCATCCCTGTTCGCTGCTTGGTTAGACCCTCCGCGTTCTCCTCCTCCTCTTCTCTTTAGTTTTTACCTGCTACGCCATGCTGGCACAGCAACTTATAGTTGGCCTTCCCCTCTGCCTGGCATTCAAACTACAGAACTGGTTTGTACCAGTACATCTCACGATGTTGCTCACATTTCTCGCCGTATACGATTGGAATACTCAGGAGTTCAAAGTCAAGCCAAGATTTAATAATAAGAGTAAAAAACGGTTTCCGTGGTAACTCATGGAAGTACCGTGATGCTGTTGGTCCTGCATGCAGGATCCAAGCTGATCCCTTTCTGCAGCGCAGGTATAGCCCATGACAGCACACCATGGAGATATCTGATGATAGTGAAATGGCTCACGAACTTTGGGCTACAATTAGCTGGGCCCACCAGGGCTGTCGAGGGCGGACATACCATGAAACTGGCGGGGTCTCCCACCTCCCTGCCCTGCTGACCCCTAGCCCCGATTCTGAGGTCATAGACACGAGCTGATGCTGTGCAGGCCCAGGCCTTTGTGACGTCAGGACTGGGTGCCACAGTCTGCCCCACTGAGCCGCCACCTGGCACTGTTGGCCGTGGCTGCCAACGCGTGTGGAAGGAGCTCGCGGTGGTGTCCTTGTGGCTGTGTGCTCGGGGCAGGCGCGCTTCTCCTGCGGATCAGTTTTGGGCTTGTTGCTCAGTGGCCTTCTTCTGCGCAGACGTTCCTGCTGCTGAAGGGGACACTGAGAGGGGGAAAGCTTGATTCCTCCACAGCATGAGGAGGACAACGCCTCCTCAGAGATTAAGAGGGGCACAGAGGCCCCCTCAAAGGGTGGCGGTAGGAAGGGCTGGCAGCAACTTGAGAGGTGCAGAAATGGAGAGCAGCTGTCTCCCAGGAAACAGGTAGATGTCTCTTCTGGCCGGGGCCTCCCGGCTGGTCAGTCCCGCTTGGCCACGGCTCCCATGGTGTGGAGACGATGCACAGCAGGGCTTTTCATTTTCCTCCACAGCTCCATCCCCTCTCCGGTTGCCCAGACAGCGCCAGCCAGCTGCAGAAGCAGTGCTGTATACAGTGTGGGTAAGTTGAGGGCTGCTTTGCTGCACCAGGTTTCTGGGGAACGTTCTGGCCAGCACGGGGCACCCCAGTACCTCAGGAGCTGGGGCTGCAAGCTGAGGGCTGACCTCCATCCTCGAACATGCCGTCACGTTGTGCCTGCTAGGCAATCCTTAGCAGCCCTCGGAGTCCCGCTCGCAGGGTGCACCCAGCTGCCCCTTGTCCAGGACGCAGCCGCAGCCCTGCCCCTGCCCCTGCTGTGATCCACACCGGCTCCCAGCCCTTCTTACAGGGTCTGACATGGTCCTGTCTGGTATGCTTTGAGGACGCGCTTGACTTTTTTCTTTCTCCCCTTTCTTTGCCAGGGACAAACATCAGAAATTATCTGAGAAACTCTCAGATCGTGGTCTCCCTCAAGAGACTCTTTGGCACAAGCATCTCCACTGTGTGAGTACAGCACCTGCGCGATGTGGTACTGGGGGTCTCCGTGGGTCGGGGTGGGCAGGCCAGGCTGGCGGTGCTACCCAACAGGAGAAAGAACTTGGCTCCTGCCAGCAGCAGCTCCGTGCTTCCAGAGCCATGGCAGCGGCTGAGGAGGGAATGGGAGCAAAGCCCCAGTGCACGCACCTGACACCACTCAAAACTTCTCATCCAAGCCTCTGGCTGGGATGTGAGGATGAGAGGCAGCAGGAGTTAAAGGAGGCCAGGAGTAGACGGCTGCAGCCTGCCTGTGGAGGGCACCTCAAAGCAGGAGGCGTTTCTTCATCTCCAGTAGAAGGAGATTTGACTCCTCAGCAAAAGAGAAGTCAAGCCCACAGCAAGGAGTTCCCATGAGCCACCGCCTTCACTTGCCGGGTCTGCTTTCCTGCCTGGGTTACTTCAGTGCCCTTCCTGAAGGTGCTGTTGGAACCAGGTTTTGGCATGTTTTGCCTGTGGTGCTGGAGGTAGCTGAGGGAAGCCCCTCTCCTGGAGGCTGCTCTGTTGGCTGTTCTTTGCCAGCAGCGGATTCCCCACCTTGCTGCTTCGCAGCTTGTAAGAGGAGATGCCCCTGAGAAGGGTTCTGCATCAAACCCTGAGCGCTGCCAACACTGCGACTCCTTCTTTTTCAGGCAAGGGATGGCCAAAAAGAACTCTGGGGTCTGCGTGCTGCTTTTCCTGGCCTTTCTGTCTGCTTTCGGTGAGTATTTGCCTGCTGCCAGCAGAACAAACGCTAGATGGGACCTCCAGCGTGTGGGCAGGCGCTGGAGCACCCGCGGGGCCGTTCGCACCTCCCACTTCTGCCGCTCGGGGAGCTCCGGAGACGAACGCTGTTCACACGCAGATGGCGCCTGGCTCGGGAGCCACTCACAGCTTTCCTTTCGGACGCTGTTGTGCTGGAGCCACAGCCCCGTAGCCTTCGTCCTCTATGCCAGTCAACGTAAGAGTGGTGCTCTGCTCAGCCGAGGCTACAAAGGGAGCCTTGTCCATGTCCTTCCAAGCTCGCTGTCAGGCAGGGAGAGGCAGTGGCAGCACAAAGGCTTCGTGCTTTACAGTCAGGGTTGGAGAAGAGGATCCTTTCTTGCAGCCATGTGGTCTCTGCCCCAGTTCCCCACTTCCTCAGGGAATATCTTGCACCTTGGTTTTCGGGGGGAGACAGTGGGCCTATGGCAATCCTTAGAAACCATAGTGAAATAACTTTCTGTGTTTCAAATGACAGCTGGTGCTTATTGTGGATTCTCGCTGGCAAGAGAATCGTTGACAAAGGAGTTCTTGCAGGTCAGTGACGATTACTGACAGGGAATTTCCGCAGAGGACGTCTGTAGGTGGTGGGTGGGCAAATGCACGTGTCCTGCTGTTGCCAGCAGTGACTGGTGCTCCAATGGAAATGGCCTTTTTTTTTCAGATGCTGTCGAAGCAGACTGATCCACGTTTCATGAACTCAGGGTAAGGGTCCCCATCTGACCTGCTGCTCTCGTGGTGGGATAGTGGCAGACGAGTTCTTGCCATTTGCGCTGCCTTGCACAATCCCCAGGGCTTGTGCCGTTCCCTCTGTGCTTTTTATTAAACGCGGTGGTGATGGGAGGCAGTCCTAGGCTTGGGAAAAGAAAGGAAGCACAAAGGAGTGTCTGTGCGTCTGCTCATCGGTGAGCTCTGAGTGCACTTCAGGGGCTGGGCAGCTCTCTGACAACATCTGCTTTGTGTGTGTTTGCAGGACCTCGGCGACTGAGCAAACCCAGGGGACTGAAAACCAGAGGGAGGGGGTGTCCTACGTGGCTGAAGAGTGTGACACCGCGATGAAGGTGATCCTGAGCTTTAGGGAAGAGGCTAGGATGAGCAGAGCCTCGGGCAGGGCACTTCTGTGTGTGGGGCTGCCTGTGGGATTTGCCTTCTGACCCCAGCCACTCATCTCGTGCCAGCCATTGCTGGTTGAGCTCCCCTTCTGCAAAGGCTTTCTCTTTTGTCACGTTTAACCGGGCCACCTCCTGCTGCTGGAAAGCTGCCCGCATTGTTGTCCTGGTTATCCAGGACCTCTGGCAGCTCTGGTGTCTTCCCAGAGAGTGGAGACACCTGGGTGCCCTTCCAGACGTATCCCAGCCTGCCACAGTGCATCTGGAGAGAATGGAGGTGGACAACGGGTGCCCAGGCCCATACTATGGCGGGGGACACAAAAACTCCTGTCCAGCCCTTCCCTTTTCCTGATGAAAAGAGCCTGAGGGCCCCTGCAGACGAGGCCTGTGTCTTGCTTTCTGACGCTTCCTGAAAGGTTTCCTAGCTCTGACACAGAACCCAGTGGTGCAGCGTGGCAGCCCGCTGACGTGCTCATCTCCTGTGCTGCTTTCTGTCTTCCCCAGGAATGCCAGGTCTTGAAAGGAGCAGTGCCTGTGAGGCCTCGGGAAAATTGCTTCACCAAGTCTGACCGGGCTCTGAAAAGTGCAGGTATGGACCCAGACAGGCACATCTTGTTACACTGGGCTTATGCTCAGCGCTGCCAAAGGAGGAAGAGCCGGATGAGACTAAATCACCTGGCCCAAATCACCGTGGCACCACAGCTCCCTTGGGCTCAGTGGCTCAGCCCCTCATGCCCTCGCTCCTTGCAGTGGTGCCCCTGGCACACCCCTGACAGGAGTTACTGCACTTGGTTGAGATTTCTCAGGGACTGAAACCAGGTCCTGAGCTCTTAGCTCTCCTCACGCAGTGCGGCCTTGACTTGAGCCTGCTGCCCTTTGCAGAGGGCCATGCTGCCTGCCGCTGTCCACAAACCTCATCTCTGTGCACCTGAGAGAGGGATGCTGTCAGCAGGCAGACAGAGATAGCTTGAGCTGACTAGGTGCTGGGAGACTGGGCCCCTGGCAATCATCTGCTCTCCTCTCCTCTCAATTCAGGGGTCTCCATGGACCTGCAGAGATCATCCAGGTCTGCATGGTACTGCAGGGTGGCTTGGATCCTGTGCGCTCCAAACGTGCTGGAGACCTTTGAGCAGGTATGGTAGCAGAGATCCTCAGTGCTGCTTTTGTTCCCTCCTGTCAAGCTGGGGGAGGCCCCTGGGACTCTCCCTTCAGGCCCCTCTGCAGCACTGCTCAAGCCCACGGTGCTCCTCAGGTGCCTGGCTCCTGAGGCCTCCCTCGGGGCTTGGCTTACCCGGAACCAGTGGCATTCCTCTGAAGGCAGGCTGACCTGGGCTGAGCTGTGCTGCTACATCCTGCATCCCACTATCCCATGGTCAGGGCTGCGTGAGGAATCTTCTCGGGCACCCTGTTTGCCTTTGTCAGCTCTGATCGTTGTTGTTTGGGTTGGGCAGGGGTTGGAGGCAGGGGACGATGCAGAGCTGCTGGGATCTTTCTGCATAGCCCTGACTCCGGTGTGGGGCATCCCATGTTTCGTAACGGATATTTTCCTCTCCATGGGAACTTTCCCATGCCAGCAAGACAGCTGGGCGTGTCTGCTTCCCTGCCTGCCGCCCGCAGCACCCAAGCAGCTCACATGCTCAGTGCTGCCTGTGCTTTTGGCTGCACAGGCAGCAGCATGCGCCTCATGACTTCCTACTCTCTGCTTTCAGCTGGACATTTCCCCGGGATACTGCTGGCCTATGAAAACATCTAACAGCCAGATTGTCTTCAACTTGCCCACAGAAGTCCAGCCGACTGCAGTCACTGTGCAGCACACGGTGGACACAACCTTGTGGCACATCAGCAGCGCTCCCCGTGACTTTGCTGTCTTTGTAAGTGTCTGCTGGTACATGGGGATGGGACGTAGCTGTCGGGAAAGGCTTCTGCTAGGAAATATACTGGAGAAGAGGACCAGTACGTCCTTTGAGCAGTGCTCAAGGGGAGACTCAGCCCCACCACATCCTGCAGCAGAACTGCAGGAGCTGCTGGAGCTCCGGCGGCCCAGGTGTGACACACATGTTGACTTGCTGCCCTGTGCTTTATCTCATAGGGACTGGACGAGGAAGGAGAGAACGAAGAGTTGCTTGGGCAATTCACCTATAGTATCAGGGAAGAGCTGTCCCAGACCTTTGAACTGCAGGTACAGTCATTGCGTGTGGGCAGGAGACCATTCCAGACCACTTTGGCAGCAAGTCAGTGGCAGGAGAAGTGTGGGCAGTCCTGCCAAGGCAGGGGTCCAGCACCAGCTAGAAAAAAACATGTTGAGGTTCAGAGGGCCGAAAGCACATGACATGGCAGGGTAGCTAAATGAAGCAGGGAGAGCGCCACGTTGGGCCAGGAGCAGGAGCACAGAGTTCCCCAGCAGTGCCCACCTCTTTTGGCAGGGCAGAGCCTTGCAAACCCACACGTGCTGGGAAATGCCCTAAAATGCAGGTGTCAGGTGGTGAGAGCCAGGAGACATTGCCACGTGCATGCCCTGTTCCCAGTGAGTGGCCGGTTGGCATCTGTGGCCCAGGCAGGTGAAGGAGCTGCTGTCTGCGCTGGCACTCCTAGACAGCCCACGTGCAGGTGTGCTCCCCAGCCATACCACACAGAGTCCACGGTGAAGGGAAGAGTGAAAAGGCAAGAAGCAAGCGTGAGCTGGACAAAAGAGCCTGGCAGCTCTATGTCTGCTAGGCCCCACGTCTTCTGGGTCCACGTGGCATCAAGCTTCCACTGCTGCTCATCCTGCTCCCGCAGGCCAGACGTTGGCTCTGTTAGCGGGGGGGGGGGGCCTTAGTGGGGGCCTTAGTGGGGCTGCTTGGGAGAAGGGAAACAGAGAAAAGCCTCCTCCTCAGCCAAGGAGGGAGCTGGCTCCCAAGCAGGCACCACCGTGCTGACAAGGAAATGCACTGAGGCAGCTGCGGTTGCTTCCAGGCCAGGAGTGAAGTCTCCTGTCTTCTTTGTTTTTCAGACCAAGACCCCCAGAGCCTTTTGGCATATAAAGCTCGTCACACTCAGCAACTGGGGAAATGCAGGACACACGTGCATTTATCGGGTGCAGGTTCATGGCAAGAGTGCGGGAATGAAATGACATCGACTAAGGACATTCGGAGACATTCTAAAAACAGCTTCCTTAAAAAATAAAACACCAAATTATTCCACCTCAGCGATGTGCGTTTGCTGTGATGCAGAAGGTGTTCTTTCACAGGCTTTCTCTGAGCAGCCCATTTCTACTTGAGGAACTGGGCGTTCCTCACTTTGCTTCTGCCCCATGGATGCGAGTGAACCAAGCAAAAGGAGATGACGGCGCCCTAGCCCTGTGTCTGGAGGGATGTGAGGGACATCTGTGAAGGCTGCGGGTGTTGCAACAGGCACGGGACTTAGAAACCCACCACGGCTGAGGAAGCGGCTCAGGTGGTGCATCCCCAAACCCAGCCCCCATGGTGCTGCTGCTGTTGCTGACTCCAGATCCCACGGGAACCTCCCACGGGTGTTCCTCTCCCAGTTCTGCCACTCAGGGAGCTCCAGAGATGCTCTCTGCACACAGATCCCACCTGGCCCCAGAGCCAACACAGAGCTGTTTCACAGCTTTCCCTTTGGATGCTCTGCGCAGGAACTCCACAGTCCCATAGCATGCATCCTTACTACCAGTCAGCGTAAGAGCATCAACCCATGTTTTCTGAGCTCTCCGAGGACATGCCTTCCACCTTCTGACCTGCTTTGTTGTCCCTTTCCTAATGTCCCTTTTGTATTGTGCGGAGCAGAATTGAATTTCGTGGCCTGGAATTAAACAGGGCTGAAATGTATTGGTAAGATTCTGGCGTCCAGACACATGCAAGTATAACTAGCAATGCAAATTCAGCGTTGCTTAAGGAAGTGGAGTTTTACTGTCTTTCTGTAGCAGCAATTAATTTATGCATACTGAGCAACAAGACAGCAAACAGCTCTTTAATGTTTGACTC